CGTTGTACAGAGGTGAATGGTAGTCGTGACCTCAGCCCCCTTTCTGTGAGCCGTCTATGAATGGTCCTTGCGCTCACAGAAGCACTAGTGCACGTACAATCGATGATAATGAAGCAACTGTGGCTGTGAGTGCCGCTCGGAGGATTGCTCGGTTTTCACATTCTGTCGTTTCTCTCGGCCTACTGCTTCCTTGTTGACGCTGTGTGTGGCCATGGTTCACCCATTTCTGCCAACAACGTCTAATAGTAGCATCGCTCCTGCTCAAATGTCGAGCTATTCGCTGATAAGACCAACCAGCTTCTTTGAGCCCAACTACACGACCTCTCTCAAATTCTGACATCTGCACATATCGTTCGCGCACCTGTATGCGAGGCATAGTTACTATCCGGAGTATACCGAATGAAATTCGTGAAGAAATTATGACCTGGAATTGTAATTTCTCCTCTTAAATATCCTGCCAGTTGCGCAGATCAGATGCGCTATAGCGACAACCGTTCATTTACTGGCAGCCAAAATGTAAAATTTTGCATTTTTTGTCGAAACCTGTATGCATATCCATTCATGTCCAATTTGCTTTATATCTTCTTGACGCATCTTTTTTCTTGTTTTTTTTTTTTTTTGTATCACTGAGTGTATCACTGAGAGAAGCATTTAAAAAATTTTTGTGAGCTTAGCTTGTGACATGTCAAAAAGACAAGTGAAAAGATTTAAGCCTGAACGAAAAGGATAAATTGTTAAAAATTACATTTAAACTGGGAATTTCCCAAACAGCACTGTGTAATCTACTTAAAAAGGAATTATAATTCGACGAAGAACTAATAAAAAATTCAAATATCTCGAGAATTATAAAAAAAGATAGAAAATCAAGAGATGTTGAAATTGCTTATCTAGATTGGTTTCAAGCTATAAAGCTAAAATATGGTTTTATTTTTAGAACTTTTTCACTAATTCACTAAATTCAGTATCAACTGTCACATGGCTCACAAGTTGGAGAAACTGAAAACCAACTCGGCTATCAGAAATTACATGGTGAAAAGGATGAAGCAGATCATCATTCAGCTGATAACTGCATACAAGATGTTTCACTAGGGCTGCTAAATGAATACAAACCACACTAAATTTACAAAAAATTAAGAGAACATGCATTGATAATTAAAAGTGAAACAGCAGCTGGTTTAAGAAATTGAAGGAATATGCTACCGTGCTAACATGCAATATGAACACAATTAAAAAGACAAAACTTGTTACTGACAAAAATAGAAAAACCTTAATGTTTTAAAGAAGTTAAGAATTACTTCTAACTTACCATAGCGGCAAGAATGCATAGAAGACTGATAGCATTTTTATTGATTTTCTTTTTAAATGGGACAGCAAAGTGAGAAATGAAAAAATAGCTTAGATAACTGTGCAGCACACACACCTCTCATCTTTTTCTGAAAAACATTAGTGTCTCTTCCTGCAAATACAACTTCTAAAATTCAACTTTTAATTTTAGGGTATTTTAAAAGTTAACAAATGCTATTACAGAAAGATGGTCAGTAAATGTATACAGTATTGCTCCCACCTTCTTGGCATGCCTCCATGGTGTGGTGGTCTGAATGCTAGGTGCGCATTCCAGAGATCTGTGGTTCGATTCCTGGTGAAGACATTGCTAAATTTTAATCTTGCCTGCTTCCAAAAAATACCTAATGTTTCTACAGTGGCGCCGGAACTAAAAGGGTAGTGGATGATGATTCTCCACACCCAGGATTTGATGACTGGGTCTCTTAAAAACCCAGTCGACTTTAAAAGGGGAAGTAATAAGGTATTTCTTCCCCCTTCTTGGCATGCCTTTGTTGTGTGGTGGTCTGCATGCTGGGCGCATATTCCAGAGCTCCGTGGTTCAATTCCTGGCAAAGGCATTGCTAATTTTTCATTTTGCCTGCTTCCAAAAAAATAACTAATGTCTCTACAAATGATGAAAAGAATTGAATTTTGTAAAATGCAAGCACTTCAAAATTAGTAGACATCTCTGATAGTATCCATGATTATAACAGTCATGCAAGAGGTTAATCTCTTAAAGTTAGTTAAAACAGTTTTTGAAAATGCATGTTTTATGTAGGAGAAGCTTCAGAGGAACTGCAAATTGTAGTTAATGTTTCAGGCATCAGTGGGAGAAGTTAAAAGATTATTTTAAAAATATGTTGCATCCATTCAAAATCTTGAGACAATGTGAATAAAAACCGACTATGAAAATGTTAAAAGTACTGCAGAAACTGCCAATGAAAGTAATACGAAAAAAGGTTATGACAGGTCATCATCAAAAATCGAATCTAGAAACTCTTGCGAATGAAAATTCAGAAAAGTTCTTGAACTGAAAGGTGTTGTCAAAAAGGTACTGTCAAAATAAAAAAGCTGTGAGCAGTTTTATGACACTGAGAATACAGTTGAAAAGCTGTTGTTGAACAATATGAAACAAACACAAGTAGAATAGTTATTTGTAAGAGATAAAATTTTATCAAGAATTAAATTATCAAAACATTTTTAAAGGAAATTTAAAAATTGTGTAAATAGTTTAATTTTAGTGTAAAGTTTAATTATTATTTTTTGATTGAATAATAATTTGTTAGTTATTATTTTAATTGAAGATTCTAAAACTGAAATATGTAATATACAAGTACGTCTCTTAAACTCGGCCACTTCATAAACTCAAATACTTTTGAATGAAGTGATTTTAATAAGTAGCAGATACTGTATATATTTTCTATACACATAATACCATGAACTCAGAACTATAATGGTAATCAAATATACATAATAAAAACATAATATTTAATAGCAACATGACTTATAAATATTGTTATGAAATGTACAGACGTGGTAAGATAGATTCCCCCGCAAAGCAGTTTTAGGGTTGCCATAAAATGGCAAGAGAATGCAGGATTGCCACATTTGATGAGAAATCGCCCGTTTGGCGACAAAATTGGCGATATGCCATAAACGAATGGAGAACCTTCTAAAACGAATTCTTACCGGTTTAGCCCAGAATTTTCTTGAACACAAGCAAGTCAGTTAGTCCGTGTGGAGACGATCAAGTTGACAACCAGCCAGCTAGTGCCGAGTGGGTCGTCGAGTGCATAGAAAGAGTCTCTTAGTGTATCGCGGTTAGTGCATTGTCGAGAGAGTGTGCTGAGCTTCGGGAACAACTGAACCGAAAAATCGGGAGCTGTGCTCTGTGTGTCATCAAGTACATTGCAAGTTGTAGCGTGGAGAGTCTCGATAGTACATGGAGTTCCGAAAACGGCCAAGCAGAGTAAGGAGCTTTGCAGTGAAGCTGTCTCCACAGTTATACCCTGATAACCTAAAGGCTGTGTCGCTGATTGTTCCAGCGAGTGTATAGTAGATCTTCGACGACTGTAAAACGTGACTTTGAAGCTGTTCTGATTAATATTGGCTAAAGAAAGTGTGTTTCGTTATTTTATCAAGTAGCGTCGTCGTTATTCACTCCAAATCTACGAACGTGAAGGAAGAAAATAACGAAACAACTGGTGTCAGGAAAGAAAAATGCAACAATATAATATTTTATTAAAAGTTCATTTTGACATCAGGAAACTCGATACATTCACAGAATGCTAAATTTCTATTACTATTTATGAATAATGAAGCAGAATATAAAGATTATGTTATATCATTTCAATATATAACATAATTTAATATACAGCCGGGCTGAGGGAAGGGATGCCTTCATGGACGAGTTTTACAGGAAAAATGGCTTGTATTCACATTACATATGAGGAAAACCAACTATGCATGAAGGTGAACTTAAACTATTAGGTTAGGTGGTCTTAAGTATCAGATCACTGAAAGGACAGTATAATATGAAATTTTAACAAAATGAAATGAAAAGAAAACTGCTAAATGAGATATATGGGATTTAAACAATGAGTATGAATGCAATGGTGCTTCCTAATCTTAATATAAAAACATCTATTACCCTTTATTTTTACAAAATTGTGCCAATGACCTATCATTTTCTTTTTCAGAATGTAAAATATCAGTTTTAAAAAGCATATCTTTTAAAGTTACACAATCAGATTCTTAACTGTAAACAAACAAAAAAAAAAAAAAAAAAAAACTCTTTTTAAAGTACAACTATAACAGTAAAGATGACAAACTGTTAAAGCTATAATTTCTGTTCTATTAACAACTTTATTTATTGAGAACAGTTGTTAGTTTCCATGATTACATTTTAACTGAATAAGTACTTTCCAATTATTTTCACCCCCAGCAAAACACCACAAACACATTGACCATTTTGGAAAGCATTTACAAGCTCACTGGCGACTAATTTTTCACCAAGTTAACATTCAAAAGACAACAATCATATTCAAATTGGTTGTAACAATAAATAAAATTAAAAAAGAAATGATGGCAATAAAACCTTTAACATTTTTGATAAATCTTTCTTTTTTGCATTGTTGTTCTCTTTGTGTACACAGCAATCTATTTTCAAAACAATTAGAGAATTGTACAGATTCAGCATCTATACAACTTCAGTACTCACACTGCCAAAACAGGCATGTGCTTAAACTACTACTTACCCCTTGAACTTCTTTTGTGAAGAAGACACACTATAAAAAGTAAAACATCCTAGACTCAAGTCAAATATTAAAATAGTTATTTTCACTTAAAAGCATAAATTATCTTATTAGTTCAGTTTAGATTCATTTATCAACTTTTTTACATCTAATACATTTGCTAAATATTTTGGCAATGCCATTAAGAAAGTTTTTAATAGATAAATAATTCATATTTAAGTTTTAGCTTAAAGGAAATACAGAAAATTGCTGCAATAAACTAATATGTCTGTAAGCTATCACAGTGAAAATTTCAAAATATGTTAAAAGAAACAAGTTTTCGAACAATATTTCTTACGATTAGCTATACTGCAAAATTATTGATAAGCCGGAGAGATAAATACACAAAAGTGAGAATAAATAAATAAGAACATAAAAAAATACCTGTTTCCAATTGCACAGAGTAGTTGTACAAAAAGTACAGATTCATAAGATAAGAAAATGCAGAATTGGGACCCAAAGGATAGAAAAATAATGCAGTTACTGGTCGCCATATCTGAAAACAGAAAAAAATTACAGTTTATGGAATAGTTTCAGGATACATTAGAATTTAGCATTTTGGCTACATATACAGTTCTGGTTTTAAAGTATTTTTATATGCCCAAATCCTTCACACATCTACAAATCATTTCATCATCCAAATTTACGTTGATCAATTCATATTTACAGCTAAAATTTAGACCATTAAATTTTTATGTAAAGCAAAATAGAGGATGGTTTAATGTCACATAATTTCTTTCCCTTACAGCTACTTTAACCCTTCGCGGCACAGTGTCTCTGGTCTGGACACACCTAAAAATTTCCTTCTGTATTGCACAGAAAAATTGAATGAAAAAGGATTTATAGGTTACTCTGAACCTTCTTTATTTATTGTAGATGGCAGCTCAACACAAACCAGTCCATATATTTTAGCCATGTTTAGTTTTTAAGACCCTCATTTTTCAAAAAAATCTTCCAGACTTTTTTTAGGATATAAAAGGAATTGTTTGAAAAGAATTTTTTTTTTTTTTTTTTCCTGTATGCTAATCTCCTTATTCTATAATAGTTTTAAATTTTTACCTTGAAATCTTGCCTAAAATAAAACGGCGAATCCTAGGTGTGCCAAGACCGCGCTCACCAATAATCTAGGACAACTGAGAGTTTGTATTCTTTGTTTCTCTACATCTCATCGGTCAGTTCATTGACAACAATGCATGTGTTGTGCAGTTTCGAAGCTCTGTTCAATCAGTGTGCCACTTTGGGCACAGTGCTATCTTCACAAAATTTTACTTGTGTACTCCTCTAGGCCTAATTAGACTGCCTACCTTTTTTTTTAAAAAATTAAAACTCCGACTTTAAAAGGTAGCATGAAGGAAAGGGTAAAGCAAATATACAATTTTCACGTAGTATATTTCCCTCCGACAACTTCTATTTCTTATTACTATCTTGCTAAATGTTCTACATGATTTGCAATTGCGATATTTCATATTTTAACTATACAGAAAGCCATTAAATAATCCCCCGTTTCTTATTCAGTTATAAAGTTTCACTGTTCATGCCTTATAATTGCCATGTCGAGAATTCCCACTACACTACCAATCAAAATCTTATATTCTGAAAAAACCTTTTTGTCACTTTCTTTCCTATCGATAGCAGTATTTTCTGGATTTAAAACCATATGATAAATTTTGCTGTCCATTAGTTCAGTGTTGATTGAGGCACTGTCACTGCATTGAAGAACTTCTGTTATCTTCATTTATACCCACTTCTCCACATTCGTTCCATTAATAAAGTGTAAGTCCATTAATCAGAAAATGTGGTCTTCCACATCATTCAAAATTTACTTCAAAATTAAGTTACTGTTCTGACTGATTTTGAAACTGAACTTTCAAGCCAGAATTGAGCTAAGGGGTGCTAAAGAAGGCAAGTAACAATTATGCTTTCACTTTGCATATCCTACTACAGCTCCGTAACTAGAAACTCATTTCAACATAAACAAAAATTCAAACTTTAATTTTGATAAAATACCTATAATAAAAAATAACCTGCAAAAATAACAGGCTGGATCAAATTAGAAAGTTCAAGAGTGCAATTTGCTTTATTAACTGAGCTAAGTTCTTCAGAATATAAATCTTTTTCTTCTCCTTACTACAATGCCAATGAAAGAAAACCTGTATGGGCAATATTCCACTCCAACAGGTACTTCATTTATTGTTTAGGTCAGACAGAAAAATGTTTCCCATCTCATCCACAAAAATTCAGGAGCTAAAAGTGTGGTTGTGTAGTAAAGTCAAACAATACTATAATTTTTTAAAGTGAAAGTAGCTCTACTCTTATATGCGCCCTCAGGTCGCCAAATGCTGCGATGTGTTGTGCAGTTTTTTTGTCAGGATTGCGTGTTCTGTGAAGGTTTTTGAGGTGATGTTGGTTCCTATGGCAACCCTTTTTACATGGAAACTTGGAATGGTTTCCTTTGCTAGTTGGTTCTGTGGTGTATGGTTTTAAACGATGCAATGAAAGACGTGTTGGCAAAATCTTAGTCGCATGCCTGGTACAACTATTTTTTCAGGTGGCTGGAAATTCTACAAGTACTAGGAGAAGACAGTTTCGAACATTTATTTATGAAACATAGTATCAATTTTGTGGATAGCGAGTCTGGCTGTCATTTAAATAGAGCTACATTGTTATGTTAAAGCTGCGTTGCCTACTTATGTTCGGAAATGCGTTTTTGAGTTTTATTTGGTGGTTTATATATTTTTCCATCGCTGTCCTGAAACGGGAGAAGATGCTTTTAACGAAATTGTTTTGGTGATGTTTGAAATTATTATTTCTACTGTTCAAAGAAGTATTCATTCATGGTAACTGAATTTTATTTTATTCTTATTTTGTAGAATGTTATGTTAATTATTTTTTTTAGTATGAATTTGTCATTATTGTTTTTTTTTAATTGTTTGAAATTTATTTTAGTTTATTTTGTTGATTAATGTGCATGCCTAGATTGTGCAATTCGTAGATGTTTTTTAAAGTTTAAACAGAACACTGTGTACATGCTATTCTTGAAATTTATTGTTATGTTATTTTATTAAAGTGAGGTGTGCATAGTTCATAGATTCCTTCACTGCCGAAAATTCATTAATATATGAAATCTATGCAGTCATTCAAATACTGAAAGGTGAAACTGCAAAAGTTCATTATAAAAATTCTACATAAGTAGCAAATGAAACAAATTATTTAAGATTATGGCACAATACTTGATTTTACTAGCTGCTTAAGAGAAGGGATGCCTTTTTAAAGTGAAACCAGTTCATATTCATGATACACATGAAAAAACAAAACCAAAAAATAAAAAAAACCTCCCATACAACCATCTTGTTTGCTAGGATTTTAGTATGGGCCATATTACCAGTGTTAGCAGCTTTAGAACACAGCAGCTGGTAGATTAAGTAGAAAATGATTTTAAAGCAGAGGGGAGGGAAGTATAAATAATGGCAAATATTTTCCAACGTTTGTTAATTAAAAAGAAGAAAAAAATGAAGATACAATGATTAGTTTATATTGTTTGAAAATGACAAAGCACAAGAATTATCTGCCTATGAGAAGAGATGGTTTTATGATTTTCTATCAGGAAACTGGCTTGTATCCATGTTATACATGAGAACTCCCATTAGCAAGACCGATGTGGCTTTATGCCCTCCTGTACATTTTCTGCAAATATTGCCTCCCAGTGCAGATGCACTGGGTCTGGCATCAGCTCTGCCTATTCACCAAGGCTTGAAACCCAGTTCGATTTACTAGGATTCAGTGATTTTAAACACTAAACACTGATGTTAAAAATGAAAAGACTGATTAAAATAAAAAGAACATGCTGAAAAATAATATTAAACACAGCATATTAAGAGTATTCATCATAAATTACATAAATTTAACCTTCAAAACTATGGTCCTGCAAATTCAGGCAACTGACAGATTCTGGTAACAATAAGTATGTTTAATACTGAACACATCAAGTTAAAACAGAGCCATTATGCAATCTGGCATTAAAATTATGCTAGTTGAAGGTACATGAATAGTTTTGACAAAAACTTTCTGTAATTAGTATTGAAGCAAGTTATATATTCCACTGATTATCTCTTTTCAAACAGTTTGCACTTCTAACTGAAAAGTAACAATGTACTATTATTTTAATTGAGCAGGAGAGCTGAAACCGATTCTTCTAGTATGAATATCTTACATAATCTGGAATTCCATACCTGCATTATCTATACATATTCAGGCTAAGACACTTGATTGATAAATTTCTTCAAATTGAAGGCAATGATTGAATAAACTGGCCACTGAAATTTCCTGATTGAAATCCCATGCAGAACTTAATGGGGTAACTTGTACAGAACTGTTAATCCAATGAAAGATAATAAACATTTAATAACCTGTTCATTACATTTATACTTTAAACCAGTGTTTCTCAACCGACGGTCCGCAAGAAATATTAGCCAGTCCGTGAAATATCCAGCTATCTGTCCCATACCCAAAGTGTCATCGGCCAACAACCGATATTACAACAGCACCTACATTACACTAACAACAGTTTACTAGTTTAGAAAATAATATGATCTATGATGAAAAATATAACAAACTAGGAACTATGTACCTAATCGCCTTTCACAAATTGCGGTGCCGTACACTTAGCACACCAGTTAGTGTGTCCTTGTCTGCCTTGAGTATTACTTGAACGCTGAATATCTATCGTAGTGTTTAAGACGTCTCAGGTTAGGTTTTGCCTTTTTATCTTGCTTATTTTGTATCTCCTTATGCTGTTTACATTTCGATTCACTGTTGCTTTTGCTATTATATTAATTAAAAAAAATAAATCATTCATATTGGAATTTTCCTGGAGTTTTAGTAGTTTTATTCTCGATGCAATACTTTAAAAAGTTGAATGTACATATGTAAATTATAACAAATAAAATGCTTTAAACATTATTTTTGTCTTCATGACTTATTTAATGTGAAAAATTTATACCAAAGGGTCGAATTATTAAACTTACTGGTCCGCAAGAACTTAATACTATACAATATTTGAGAACCGAAATATTTTACTGGGTCTTGTAAAGAAAGAAAAAGCTGTTGAGAAACACTGCTTTAAAACACATTCACTAAATCTCGTCTATAATAATTTGTTTAAAAAATCTGACATAAAGTGTAAGAAGGTTACATATAAAGTAATCAACTATATTAAAAGATAGAAAAATAAAGAAATAATACTTGAAAATTTTAGGAAATTAAAACAGTAACAAATTATTTTAAAATAAGTTGCAAGAGAAATACTTAAGAAACGTTGTATATGTAATAAAACATATCAGAACAACGGTAGCATTACAAACATTCCTCACACTTTCAAAAAATCATTTACCTGAAACCTGTGAATGAAAGAACTATAATCTAAGATTAGATGCAGCGGATTTACTAGGCCAAATCTTCCCAGAAGCGGAAAGAATATTGACAAAGCAAACCAATGACGAGTGAAAAGCGGAAGGGATTGAAAAAAATTCCCTATATCGCTCATGGTGCAGGTAGTATATATATAACAATGTTCAGGAACTCGAAACAGACGAAACCCCAAATCAAAATTAAAAGTTATTAAATTTTTTAGCAACAGGTAACCTCATGCCTGCACTCACTACATCTAAGCCTCTCCACTTAGTAGTGTTAGCCGTACAATTTCGTAAACATACGTGTCTATAAATTGGCAGATGAGGCAGACAGATGTCTTGTTTTGCACCCGCCAAGTCTTTCTGCGCCGATAGGCGAAAAATCAAACTATAATGTGAAGGAAAGGTACACAGAAAAGGGACAATTTTATACTTCAGAGGAAAGTAAAACGGAACTTCATACATTTTACACGAGTTCTAAAGGCCAGGAAGGAAAGATGGGACAAAATTAAATTAAAATAAATGGTCCAAATGTAATAGAGAGAGAGAGAAAAAAAGGGGTGCTATGGAAGGAAAAGATGTAGAAAATATCCTAAAATACGATTGTGTCCATATCTTTAGGTATTGTTTCTGGCCACCATCCCACTGAACACTTTAGATCTACGTTACGAGTACGTAAAGCTACACTTGTCAGCTTAATTTCTCGGAACAGCGTTGTATGCATTTTAGATAACAAAATATTCGTCTATAAGGTCTATGGCTTTCGTCTATGGATGCCATTTTTGGTGGCATGTGTTGTTGCTGTAGATATAACGATGGTAGCTTGGCTCGGTGTGTTGTACACTGTACACTGCTCGGTGTGTTGTACTCTGTAAACATGTGTTGTACTCGCCAACCGCGCGCCGTTATCACTAACTGTAACCGAAGGGGATTTCGGGGACACACAGTCACGTGCGGTTGGTGCTCGCTTTCCTCCAACGTGATTGTCTGTCGACTGTAGTAATTAAGTTTTAATATTGTGATGTAAAACTTAATTACTACAGTCGACAGGCAATCACGTTGGAGGAAAGCGAGCGACCAACCGCACGTGACTGTGTGGCAAAAACCTTTTTTCCTGTATGGATTTCACGGTTTGGGGTACCCGAGTACGTTACCACGGACCAAGGACGGCAGTTCGAATCTCAATTATTTACTGCATTAACAAAATTCTTGGGAACTAAAAAGATCCGTACATCACCGTACCACCCGAATTCCAATGGACTTGTCGAGAGGTTCCATCGCTCTCTTAAACAGGCCATTAGATGCCATACTACTATTCACTGGGTTGATGCCCTTACTGTGTTGTTAGGACTCAGAACGGCTATCAAAGAGGACCTGGGTTCTTCAAGTGCTGAAATGGTTTATGGTACCAATTTACGTTTACCGGGAGATTTTATAAATCCCGCAAAAAACTCACCCAATGTCCAGCTCCATGCATTCCTCAAACAATTGCGTGAAACCATGGCTGCATTATACCCTAAGCCCACAAGCATACATTCTTCAAGACCTGTGTTTGTTTCTAAAGAACTCGCTACATCCTCACATGTGTTCTTACGGTGTGATGCATCAAAAAGTCCTTGGAGCCTACCTATACAGGCCCACACCTAGTTCTAAGTCGCACATCAAAGAACTATCGGATACTAATCGGCGACAAAGAGACAGTGGTGAGCCTTGATCGTCTCAAACCAGCCTTTATCATAGCACCACAAAATGTCGAGACTGGTATATCAGTCCCACCTCCTTCGAAGGCACCTTCATCTATTGGGTCTACACCAACATCTGCTACTACGTCAGTTCCTGTGCCTGGATCCCAGAAAACAAGTGCTCCTCAGTATACACGTTCCGGACGTAGAGTCCGATTTAACCCTCGGTGCCTTTAATTCGTTGCCACTGGTGGGGGAGTAGTGTGGCGACTCTGTAAACATGGGTTGTACTCGCCAACCGCGCGCCATTATCACTAACTGTAACCGAAGGTGATTTCGGCGACACACAGTCACGTGCGGTTGGTGCTCGTTTTCCTCCAACGTGATTGTCTGTCGACTGTAGTAATTAAGTTTTAATATTGTGATGTGATTAAATGTTTTTGTTATCAAAAATTGGCTCTTATGGCATCCCCCTGGGAATCGACGTAGAGAACTCTGCGAAGCTACTGGCTAGGATCTGTACCTAGGCAGTCTCGGCCACAGGGGATAAAATTTATGAACTTGGTGGTTCTGAAGCCCCTGGGAAAGGTCATTTATTGGCCCACCTCGGGGACTGGCATGTCCTGAGCGGTGTGGAACCGTAGCCGGAGGGCTTGATTCCCCCCGGTTTGCTGGGTAACGGCCCACTGCGACGGGCTCACCCATGCGACTGGTAGGAGCATTAGACGACCAGTGCTGCCTGGTGAATTCCAGGTGGTGCACTGCTCCTCTGGAGGGTAATAGTGGAGGTTGTACCTCCACGACGTGCCCAAAGGGGGAGTAGTGTTTAAAGGGGGAGTAGTATATTATTATTTATAGTGTGATTTAGTTCACGGGGCGGGGAACCCTAAATTGTTGTTGTTGTTTGTTGTTATGGCATGTTATGAATTCATTCTTAAAAGCACTGGCAAATTCCAATACGCATAGTTTGTTGTTGCACACAGCCGCAACCACGTGCAACACTCGGTAATATTAACATTTTTATTTAACACATACTAGAAAAAGGTTTATATATATTTTAACACACGTTCACTGATACACAGTTACAATGATTACAGTTCGTACGATAAGCATTTTTATAGTTAGCAAGTCCACATATGTGAAAAATCATGAAAGTGAAGCGGAGGAGAGGTGAGCGCGTGCTTCACAGACAGCAGCCACGAACAGAGTAACGAGTCCGAAGTTTCTCCTAGTGGAGAAGAAAGAGAAAGCTGGTAGCGCCTGTAAGCACGATTGTAAATTATTTATTATTATTAGACAAAATATCTTTGAGAAAATGGCAACAGCTAAATTCTGGATGTCGTTCTATTTATAATTTTAAAAATATACATTGAGATGATGTACGCTTGAAATGTTTAATGGTACGATGCAGTAAGTACGTTTGTTATGTTATGTACGTTTACGAATACGTTACGTGTAGGTTATTGAGAATTATCTTTAAATAAATGTTTGTCTTTTACAACCATTTTACGATTGATTAATTTAACTACAAAAGGAAGTTAACATAAATCAGAAGCGGGATTATTCTGAAACCTAAGCTTAAAGCTACAAGAATTTGCTATACGTAAATAAATTGAAAAGAATTTGAATTTCAAGGTATGTGCATTAATTGATGTAACATGTTTATTATAGAATTTAATTTTGTTATTTTTTATCATTTTGGAAAGAGAGCTTATTTTTTTTTTCCATTTCTTTAAATTTTGAAATATATTTAGTACGTCAAACAAACTTATAAAATACCAATAACTGTGTTCTACTAAGTTGTCTAATTGGTGGTGTGGTGTGTGGTGGTGTATTTAATTATGGCAAAGCACACTAGGGCTATCTGCCTAAGGGGAGGGATGCCTTTCGTGGAGGACTTTCTAAGGGAAACTGGCTCGTATACACGTTACACATGGGGAAAACCACGAAAACGCCCATGCAGCCAGCCCGTTCGCGGGATTCGAACCTCGGACCGAACTACCAGTGTTCAGCGTCTTTACCGCTCGGCCGCTGGTGGGCTAGTTGTCTAATTGGAAGTTAATAATAATAGCATATATATATATATATATATATATATATATATATATATTTGCATTTTAATGAGTACGAAAAATGTCTATTTTCGGTAAGGCAAAGAAATGCGATTTAAGAATATTAGCTGAAGAATTGGGAGAAGATGTAAACGAGAGTCATAAAATGAGCGATTTGAAAAAGATAATTTTGGCTAGCAAAGAGTACGATGAAGAATGCGCCAAAGAATGGTTAAACATTATAATAAATGAAAGAAAAGAAAAAGAAGAAATTGAAGAACGAAAACGTCAAGATGAAGAACGTAGGCGAAAAGAAGAATATAAGGAACGAAAACGAAAGTATGAAATGGAATTTGAACTGCAAAAATTACGTATTGAAGCAGAAAGTAGATCTACAAATTCTGGCCCCAATGAAAATGCTAGTGGTACGCACATGAATCCAAAGTTAGAGCTTCATCGTTTGATGCAAAAATTTAAACCTGACGAGAATGATATTCGTTTATATTTAATCATGTTTGAACGTTTGGCTAAACAAGTTGAAATATCAGAAAATACATGGGTTACTCATTTGTTTGGCTTATTGCCGTATGATATTGCTCAGTTAATCGCCAGAGAAACCGATGAGATTGCAAACGATTATAAAGAAGTTAAAAGGATCTTATTAAAACGGTACAAGATGACACCTGAAAAATTTCGCCAAAAATTTTGTACGCACAATAAGAGTGTAGGAAACACATGGAAGAATTTTGTGTATGAGTTAAGAAATTTTTAATGAATGGATAATTCGGAACGGAATTAAAGTAGATACTTTTGAGAAACTTAGCGACCTTATTGTAACGAAATCAGATAAAACGTAAAGTGTCTCCAGAAGTAAAAGATCATTTTATTGACATATGGTCTGAGTTGATTTCACCAATTGATTTAGGTTGAAAAACTAGATAATTATGATACCTTAAAGTCAACTTTCAACAATAAACAACCGCGTAAAGAAGGGTCTTACGACAAACGAAACTCCTTTAAAGATGGTCCTGTTGCTACAATCAACGAAAAGAAAAAACTGTACGGTATCACACATAATGAAAAAGGTGAACCAAAATGCTTCAGCTGTAATAATTTTGGACACATCTCAAGGGACTGTCAGCTTCCCAAACCAGTAGTAACATGCCGAAAATGTAATAAAACAGATCATAAAGCTAAAACTTGTATTACTAAAGCTGAAAATAATCATTCAAATGATAACATTATTCTGTTGAGCAAGTTGGCGAAAATTTAGAAGAGTGCAATTCATATTTGAAGAAAGCAAAACTGAATAATTCTGAAGAACTGCAGTGACCTCTATAGGAATGATTAAAGTCGATATTGAAGTTGATAATGTAAAAGGCCAAGACATAAATATATACCTTGTACCTGATAATGCACAGCCAGTTGATCTAATCATCGGACGGACATGGCTTGATCTCCCTCACATCGCTTATGTCAGAATAGGAAAAAGATTTCACTTCAGGTATAGGGAAGATGAACTATTTAGTAACCTCCAAATTGATGAAAAAATAAATCGAGTCTGCCTTAAAACTCTTGAGGCAAATGAATTAGAGAAAAATA